ACATTCGGATCACAGCATAGGGGTGATAGTTTCCACCAGAAAGCAGGTAAAAACTTCTAATAGGGAACCAATTTCGATATGAGATAAGAATTTTAAGAAAACTTGTGACTCTAAGAAAAAAAGCTGAAATTTGCATGTTTAAACTCGTATAACTCGACAAGAAAATCTTTTACATATTGGTTACCAGTAACCATAGCAACAACGTGGTGGAGTTTGAACAAAATGCTGACATACAAATTTTTCCTGATAAACTTAGGGCCAAATTCACAGTGCGTAGTTAACTCAGAATCGGCAGTTAACTACAGATTTTCGTACTGAAAAACTTTAGTTAACTGTGGATTCCGAGTTAACTACGCACTGTGAATTTGGCCCTTAGCGAATTTTGCCCCCTATATAAGTTTCCATTTTTGCAAATTAAGCGACCCAAAATCTGTTAGAAACGGCACTAGCCTTATCTCGGGGAAAATTTTCATGTCTGACTGTGTTTTATAAAAGTGACAGACAATTTCTTCTAATACGAAAATTCTTATAATACTGAGCTGATTTCGATGATTTTTATTATTTTGATCACTTCTCAACTAGAGCATTCATTTCATTTGCAATTAAAATAGTGCACTTTTGTACTTTGTTATCCTTTCTTGTATACTGATTTGGTATTCGGATTCAGCGGAAAATTCGTCATGAAAATTCATACAAAAATTCCACGGTTGGTCAACTATATCTAAAGAAAATTGTAATTAAATGACCGCACTTTTTTCAGATCTCAAAAACCGCAAATTTGGCTGTATCTTACGTTTTGATTTTACTTTCGGATTCAGCGGTAAATTTTACATTATATGGATATAAAAATGTCGCAGGTCGAACAATATTTTAATTTCTGTAAAATTTTTTTTAAATTTCTCTATTCACTTGCGATTATATTTATTTTGATTTGTTTCTGCCAAAGCAGCTGATTAAGAACTTCGAATTTCACGTTTTCAGCTGGCAGTGCCGCTGATAGTTATTATCGGATTACAGCATACCAATTTTCGAATTTTCGGAACGGAGCTACGAACTCGTAGCTACGAACATTCGGATCACAGCATAGGGGTGATAGTTTCCACCAGAAAGCAGGTAAAAACTTCTAATAGGGAACCAATTTTGATATGAGATAAGAATTTTAAGAAAACTTGTGACTCTAAGAAAAAAAGCTGAAATTTGCATGTTTAAACTCGTATAACTCGACAAGAAAATCTTTTACATATTGGTTACCAGTAACCATAGCAACAACGTGGTGGAGTTTGAACAAAATGCTGACATACAAATTTTTCCTGATAAACTTAGGGCCAAATTCACAGTGCGTAGTTAACTCAGAATCGGCAGTTAACTACAGATTTTCGTACTGAAAAACTTTAGTTAACTGTGGATTCCGAGTTAACTACGCACTGTGAATTTGGCCCTTAGCGAATTTTGCCCCCTATATAAGTTTCCATTTTTGCAAATTAAGCGACCCAAAATTTGTTAGAAACGGCACTAGCCTTATCTCGGGGAAAATTTTCATGTCTGACTGTGTTTTATAAAAGTGACAGACAATTTCTTCTAATACGAAAATTCTTATAATACTGAGCTGATTTCGATGATTTTTATTATTTTGATCACTTCTCAACTAGAGCATTCATTTCATATTTTAGTTCCCATAAACCTCTCGTCTCTTTTGTAGAAGTTTGAACATGAGTCGAAGTAATAATAAAATTAAAAGTTAATTAGTAAAAAAAAATTATAAGAACTTATCAGCTTCGTACCAATACTACAACAAACAAACGCAAATGTCTCATTCTCTCGTAGTTTATTTTCATGAGGTTTTCACTACACTATTTTTTTTTTTTAATTTGATACAGTTGAAAACATTTGACAACGCATGACACAAATCTGAGCTTAATATACATATGTACGTATAAACGCTGTTTTCATGCTTTTTAATGAACCCTACTACAAGCCCAACTAACGTTTAAAACTATTAAACAAAAAATCAAACGGTGTATTTGCTATCAGTAAGTAGGAACTGATGTGAACAGAGAAACTTGTTATAAATTTAAAAGGAATAACAGTACATTTGAGCGAGCAATACTCCCACTCAGAAAAGAAAAGATTAAAGCATGTTGTGGGCCATAAGTAGAATAAATCATGTACATATCGATAGCTGAGTGGAAGATCTACCTATCTCGCCAGCCAAAGAAAACCTTTCAAGAACGCCCTACTTCAAAGTTTGATTGAAGAACGCCCTATTTCAGAGCTTCAACAAAAAACATTCTAGCCATAATTTAGTTGAAGAACGCCCTATCTCAGAATTTGGCTCAAAAGCGCCCTATCTCAAACATACATTGAAAATATGCTGAGATAGGTCGTTTTTGAATCGTCAGCTTAGATAGGGCGTTTTAGAAGCGAATTCTGATATAGGGCTTTTTTCGATCAAATTCTAAATTCTTTAAACAAATTCCGAAATAAGGAGTAGTTGAAAAATTTTCTGAGATAGGGCGTTTTCGAACTGGCTGCCGATCATCTACTCAGCCATCGATATACTGTTCATGGAGACATTTTTTATTTGAAAAATAATATTAAATAACGCAAAACGGAAAAATTAATGCTTCTTTCCAAAGCCAAACATACATGTGTGTTGTAATTATTTCTGCTCGACTAAGCTGAGAGTTTGATGTTGTGTATGGAGCTTTTCGGTATTTTATTACAAATAGAATAACATTTTTTTTCCTCCTACTTGTTTTGACGCATATTCGCGTCTTCCTTAGGGAATCTATTTAGAAATACGAGAAACATATATTCACATAGTCCAAAAATGCATGTGAAAAAGTAAAGTTGGAATTTTTATGCTCTCACCCCTAGGATTGTTCTATACCGAAAAATATACCCCTATTTGTATATTTTGAAAACAAAAAATATTTAGAGGTCGCTCAAAGCGCCCAAAGTTTTCAATGTATTTTATATGGGAAAAAAACTTTTGGTAGAAATGGTTTGGAATTCAAAAAAACTTATATTTTTCTATCGCAAAACTCTTTTCATCTGCAGGATTCCAAATAATAATACCCAATTGTTTATTTAACCATTTTTTCATCGCAACTATAATTTGTAGGTCCGCCAAAGATCCACAAAAACCCCGAAAAATGCAATGGGGGACAAATAAAAAATCGTTAGTATTAAAAAATGGTTAAATAAATAATTGCGTATTATTATTGTAAGTCTCCTGAAGAGAGAAGAAGATTTTCATGAATTCTATACCATTTCTACGAAAAGTTGTTTTCCCCCATATAAAAATACATGGAAAACTTTGATCGCTTTGAGCGACCTCTAAATATTTTTTTATTTTAAAATAAAAAAATAGGGGTACACTTTTTTCTATATAGAACAATCCTAGGGGGTTAGAGCATTACAATTCCGACTTTACTGTTTTGGACCACCCTAATGTACATGCAGTCATATCAAGAGCACCTCATTTCAAAGTGATATTGTTTTCCACTTATGTTTATTTATTTATTTTTAAGAATTTTCATTAAAATAAAGTTCATTCTCTGAAGAAGTCCATATAAACCCAAATTTAAAACTTTGTAGAAAACTAAACAAAACCTAAAAATGTTCATTAAAATTTCAAAATTAATTTCTCAGAAATTTTTGAGTATATAGATTTAAAGCCCTTTCAATTTTATTGGAATAATGTGCAAGTTTCAAGTGGCTAAAAATTTCCGTTGTTGCGGTTTTCTTCCATATAAAAATAAATTGTGTTCATTCGTTATATGCTAGCGAATGCGACAAGAAGAATCAAAGGTTTTAAGGCTCTTGAAACTTGCACATTATCACACTAAAATTGAATCGGCTATAAAGCTTCATACTCAAAAAAATTGTAACACTTCTGAGTAAATAAACTTGAAATTTGAATGAAAATTAGTTGTTTTTTTAGATTTCTACAAAATTTTAGGCGTGGGTTTACATGGTTTTTTTAAATGAACTTTATTTTAGTTGAAATTGAACATACTGAAAACAAAATTTCAATGGTTAACCATAAAACAATATGAATTGCATAATGCTTGAAGNGCTATAAAGCTTCATACTCAAAAAAATTGTAACACTTCTGAGTAAATAAACTTGAAATTTGAATGAAAATTAGTTGTTTTTTTAGATTTCTACAAAATTTTAGGCGTGGGTTTACATGGTTTTTTTAAATGAACTTTATTTTAGTTGAAATTGAACATACTGAAAACAAAATTTCAATGGTTAACCATAAAACAATATGAATTGCATAATGCTTGAAGGGGAAAATGCCTTTAAAAAAAAAGAAAAGTGGATGATCTCCAGCAAATGATCACTAAACGCTATATACCGTCTTAATTTCATGAATTTTATAATAGAATTATAGAAATATAAAATAAGCACTTGAATTTCCAATATAAATTATGCTTTTGTGATTTAGTTTAAACCCTAAATGTGCTACCCTTCCACGCAAATAGTGAAATGTGCTACTATTCCACGTGAACATCTGAAATGTGCTAGTCTTCCATGAACCAACGACTACAAATCACGTAATCCGCCCTCGTTGTATTTGTAATCGATTTTCAGAAAAAAGTTTTCGTAGCGTTTTTGATGTTTTTTGGCTCTGTTTACATCGTCTTCTACCTCTTCGTAGTGATATTTTAGCGATTTTATGTGTTTTCTGCAGCGGTTTTAATTAGAAATTTTGATTTATTACAAATTTATGATATAATATGAAGTGCTTCGTGATTGGAACAAGTTTGTGCGTCTGTTTGATTTGCCAAGAGGCGTAAATTTGCGTGAAAAGTGGGTGCACATTTGTGGTCAGAACGTTGGCGTTGAAAAATCGGCCGGTGCCGATAATATGCGATTGTAAAACACTCTCAATCATTAAAACCATATTTTATGACCTTTTTTTGCTAATTGTCATCAAGTTTCACTTTTTATATTTTATAATAAATACAAATCTAATCGCACTCAATAACCGCGCTTTTTTCGTTTTCTTTGTTTGTTTTCATTTTTAGGCAGATGTCAAAAACGCTCAGAAATTTACTTTTTTCATTCTTTTCCGATTGCGTGATCTTGTTAGTTGGTTCATGCTAGTCTTCCACGCAAAAATCTGAAATGTGCTACTCTTCCACGCAAAAATCTGAAATGTACTAGTCTTCCACGCAAATAGTAAAATGTGCTACTCTTCCACGCAAAAATCTGAAATGTGCTACTCTTCCACGCAAAATTCTGAAATGTGCTACTCTTCCACGCGAATAGTGAAATGTGCTAGTCTTCCACCCGAAAATCTGAAATGTGCTACTTTTCGACGCGTCTTCCACGCTAATAGTGAAATGTGCTACTCTTCGTAGGGACCGACGATATGTAGTAGGAATGTTGCTAATGTGAAATTTTAGACATCCGCGGATACGAATGGATATTTTTAAGAAATAATCCAGTTAGCAAATTAAGTTATTTAGGTTAATAAAAAAATGGAAAATTAGTAATTTTTAATAATGTTCATTTTAGTTAGTACTTGAATTTAAAAATTGGAACATTATATTTAATAAAAAGTAATGCGAATTGCATCGGGGTTGAAAATGTCGGATGTATCCTCCTGACTTTCATATTCACTTGAAGAATCTAGCATAATGGTGAGATCGTTGTTTAAACAACGCTTACAAGCCAAACCAGATGTGCCAGGTTTGGGGAAGATGTAACGTCATCAGCGTTTTTCGATCTTAGTTTTTAGTTAATTAACACAAATCAGCTTATATGAATTCGCCTTAAAGTTAATCGACCACTATTAAGAATTTACGATATTGGAATGCGACCCTGACGTAGTATGACAGCTGCCAGGCTTAAGTCAAAGAGTAGAAAATAAATTGGCGGCACTCGCCCACGTACCTTTCAACCGAAAAGTGTGGTTTGTTTTTTTACAAATATATTGGGCTACTTTTGTTGGCTGCAAGTCACAGCGGCACTAAGTAGGCGTTGGCAGGCATCAGCGCCGGCGGAGCACCAGTGCAAGCAGCACTGCCCATTACGGCAGCACCGGGGGAGCGCTAGGGCTCCATGAAAGCGAGCGTTGGCCGGCAGCAGCACCGGTATGCCCCCCTGCAACTAAAAGATGTGTAATAAAGACACATCACATGGCGACCGTGGGTTCATCCCGCGTAATGGTGGCGGCCATATAAACATTATATATGAAAAAAAATGAAATCTAAATCAACTGTAACAAAAGTACGTAACAAAAAAAATTTCTTTATACAAAAAAAACCTGAATTACATTACAATAAAAATAACAGAATTTAAAATATTAAAATATGTGCACACTTAAAACACAAGAAACAAGAATTACTTAATTTTGCGAATGTTAACGAAACAACTTGTTTAGACGAGTTACTTTTGAGGCTGGATGTTGAAGGCGGCAATCGCAACATTAAGAAAGTAGAATGGCCAAAAGATAATATATTTTTCAATAATTTCTCTATTTCAAATTTAAAAAACAGCGGAAACAATATTTTAAAATTTTTACAAATTATTTTAACAGAACCGGTAGAAAAAGTAACTGACGCCGATAAAAAGTTAAAATTAATGACCATTTAACATAATGACCTGATAACAGGCGGACATTGCGGAATCAAAAAACTGTATGCAAAATTACGTACAAAATATCACTGGAAACATATGACCCGTGATGTATCCAAGTTTGTTAAAAATTGTCCAAAATGTTTATTAAACAAGGTTAAGCCTTAAAACAAGGAAAATCTTGTTTTAACGCCAACCCCTTGCAAACCATTTGATATTATTGTAATCGACACATTAGGACCCCTACCAGAGTCGGGTAGTGGTAATAGGTTCGCAAATACCATTATATGCGATTTAACAAAGTATTTAGTAACAGTAGCTGTGCCAGATAAAAGCGCAAAAACTATTGCCTCTGCTATTTTTGAAAGCTTTGTCTTAACTTACGGTGTAATGAATTCCATCTAATCTGATTTACTTAGGCTCTGAATTCAAAAACGAAATTTTTTCCGAATTAACCAAACTTTGAAAGGCTAAAAACGATTTTTCAACCGCACACCATTATGAAAGTGTGGTCATTATCGAACGTAACCACAGAGTCTTTAATGAATATTTACGCGCATATTTAAATGAAACATTTTCCGCTTGGGATGTTTATTTAAAATATTTTACATTTTTGCACAACACAACAACTAACACAGTCTTAAATAATAATAATAAATTTTCCCATGTTGAATTAATATTTGGGAACAAGGCCACAGTGCCTCTGGATTAAAAAAAAGAACCAATTGACCCGATTTACAATCTAGAAAATTGCGCGAAAGAAGTTAAATATAGAATGCAAAAGTCGCACAAAGTTGTGAAAGAATTAATTAACAAACACAAAACTCGAAATTAAATAATATACGATAAAACGGCGCGTCCGGTATCTATTAGCGCTAACCACAGGGTTCTTGTTCAAAAAGAACCACGTAATAAGCACGAAAAAATATACCAAGGGCCATACGTTATAACAAAAATTGACGGCGTAAACGTCACAATTTTTGATGAAGCGAAAAACAAAGAAAAAACAGTACACAAAAATAGAATTCATAAAATAAAATAAAACAAATTTTCTTATATGGGAAAATCTAAAAAACAGGTAACCTTTGTGTTATTTAGCTCTATTTTCACTGTTGTAAACTAAATCCAGCTGGTTGCTTTTGGATATAACGCACTGTGCTAAGTTTGTCTTGTTAATTGTTGTTGCTTATTTTCCACTATTTCACTTTGCTAGGCAACTGGCTGAGTCAGTGGTGATCGTCGGTTCGAATCATTAGCGCACACANCCAACAACCACATGATCAAGTGAATTGCAGCGGAATAGCTGCGCTTGATTGTAGTTGGCTTAGCAAAGTGAAATAGTTTGTCTTGTTAATTGTTGTTGCTTATTTTCCACTATTTCACTTTGCTAGGCAACTGGCTGAGTCAGTGGTGATCGTCGGTTCGAATCATTAGCGCACACAAGGGGTGGGTTTTGGGGTTCAAACCCCCCCCTAAAGCTAATGACCCCAAATGCAAACTGTATCTTAAAGCTAAGAATCCAGCTCTCAAGGAAATTATAAGAAATATTTATTATAATTTCTGTTGCTTGAAAAAGCGCTTTGCTTTTGCTGTAAATTTTCATGAGGAAATGAATATACGAGCTTTTTTTTATTGAGAGCTGCAAGCTGATTTAAGAAATTTTGGTAGAAGAAAATTTCTTTTCCATTTCTCGTCCGTCGTTTTATATGAATTTTTCGTTTTTCCTGAGAGTTCAGTTAATTTTTTCGGTATTCGAAATATTAAAAAAATTTAGAAATCGTGAAAATTCACCATCTCTATCGAAAGCCAGAAACCAGTAATCGAAAAAAGGAACATAAAAGTGCAAAAATTCATGGAATCAATAAATTTATTTTTAATGAGTCATTTTTAATATTTTTTATTAGGTACTTTTGAAAGTTGAGCGCATCTTGA